GTTGAAAATGATCGGAATCTTAAAATACATGATATGGAATATGTTATGTACAATTACTTAAAAAAAAGTTACAGATATGGAATTAAGAATATAAATTCGTATCTTATTTGTTAAATTAAGTAAATACAACATTTTTTGTTACTAATTATTTTTATTTCTTATCGAGTGATGCAACGTAGAATTTATTCCTACTTTGCATATTATTATTATTAAAAGGCCGCAGGTGGTCATGGATCGGCCACATGCTACATCGGGATCCCAGTCATATTCCCAGGGAGGTTCTGGAGTCCGCGGACGAGAGCGAAAGCGTGCCCGTGGTCCCGTCCCGATGCGTTGGAGGAACAGTGGGGTTTAGTGTGTATGCCTCCGCTATGGAGGAGAATCCCACATAACTACCGCGTCCCCCCCGGGGCGCGGAGTATGCATAAAGCATTCCTCTCTGGAAAAAAAGTTAGGTTCTGGAGTGGATCTCGTTAGGAACAAGAAGACGTGGTCGTCCTAAACAAATTAGGCGGTGCTCAGTACCTGCCGACATGAAGACAATCGGGCTGACATGGCCCGAGACCAAACACAGAGCCCAAGATAGAGCGAAAGACGGCGCACTGTGGACGCCCTCTGCCCCACTACGGGGACATAGGACATTAAGTAGAAGTTACATAATATACTTAAGACTACACTTAGAATAAATAACCTTCATAGTACGTTGTACCAAAACTACACTTAAATACAATAAGTAGCGAAGAATTAAGTTCATAAGAAAAATCTGTTAAACTGAAGAAAATTATCTATCACTAGCTGTAGGCAATTCTCATACCTACTGAATATGCATATAAAATTTCATTAAAATCGGTCAAGCTGTTTCGGAGGAGTATGGTTACTAACATTGTGACACGAAAATCCTACCAATATTATAAATGCGAAGTCTAGATGGATAGATGGATTGATGGATGTTTGTGTAAAGGCAAACTCCATAATGAATAATAATTAGATGTAGAACATAGTCTGGAAGAACACATAGGTTACTAAATAAGTTTAAGACACCTAGTTTTATATAAGATTAATATAGATAATTAATTAATTTCTTTATATATAAAAATTCATATCAGTTGCCAGTATAGAAATTGTAATAATTTGAAACGTCGCCAAAAAAAAGACTCCGCTCGTAACGTCATCCGGGCATCCCACCCTCTGTTTTCCCAAACTGAATCACGGCTAAAGAAAAACTTACCCCCGACTGTGTATATAAGGGATGGTAGTTTCCTGAGTCGAGCCAGTCGCGATCCGCAACCCTTAGAGCGAGGGTTGTACGCTGCTTCAAACAAATGAACAACTTTTTACGCGAAAACCTCGACGAGAATTTTCCAACTTGATATAAAGGTAAGAAGTTATTTATTTATTGTAAAATATATTAAAATGTTGCTTATTTAATTTAGTTTTTTTATTGAGAATTAACTTTCATAGAATTGATATTTAATTTTCAAAGTGGTTTATTACTGTTCTTATCGTGAAAGTCTAGGCTTGGCTAACGATTATACGACTGCTTTTAGGAAATTGTTAAAATGCATATCTTTCATATTAACATACTACACTTCTAATTAATACATGTATACATTACGATTGACCTTTAAATTATAATAAACTTTATTCTATATAAATAAGATATAAGATATGAAAAAAGTTTTTATATTTACTTAACTTTTCAAACAAGACTTTAGATAAAATTATTCGTATTACAGTTAAATATTACTACATTTTAGAAGTCGTTATAAAATATTAAAGGAACAGTGGAAATTATATTATATAATAATTTAAATCGATCATTACTTTAGTGGATTTAATAGTTTATGTATTTTAAACAAATATTTTCTATTTACATACTAATGCAATAAAAAAAAACAAGAGAGCGTACAATCTTATACAATTTTTCCTATTATAAAAATATTATTTTGTCTCTAATGATATTTCAAAATCTTTTCTCTTTTGCAATATTGCATACTTAGGTATAGAATTGCAAAAGGACAAGAAAACTTATTGATTATTTGCTTAATATCATTCATATCTAAAGAACACGACAATAAAGTTAATCGAAGAAAATTTATGATGCAAAAGTGACTAGCAATGTTTGTAGGGGTCGCCCTTGATTATACGAAGCTATATGTTGACTATATTAGTAGCATTGTAAGTAAAAGCACAGCCGAAACTTACATACAAATAATATTTGTATGTATTAAAATGCTTATGGTTTCGTAGGAATGCACTAATTCTAGTATTTCAGGGTTTCATGATTTGTAAATAAAACAAAATTTGTAGTTCCAATTTGTGAGGCTATCACGAATATTTGTAATAATCGCCATAGTATCGTCATCGTGAATGTATTAAAATTACACTAAAATCACATACTAAACTTACTAATATAAATGCAAATTTTTGGATGGATGTTTGTTAGAAGTAATCTTTAGAACTGCTGAATGTATTTCGCATAAATGTATTATAGAACACAGCCTGGAAGATAACATAGGCTGTTATTTTTTAATTTCGCACAGTCGTAGTTGAGGGCTAGCTAACAGCTAGTTTTGACTTAAAGCGATGATGGTAAGAAGGTGATTCTCACAAATAATTTTATTACAAACGTATGTAAAATAATTGTGTTTGTTACACGAACTTTGCTAATAATTTTCGCGTGATGTTGCGTTATTAACATACATAGTTGCTAACAAAGTCGCGACTTCTGAATACTGAATTATATCTCTTAATTCCAAATCAACAGTATGACAATCAAACACGCAACTATATGCTGTTCCAAATCAAAACGTAAACTTCCTATAATACCATAACCTATAAATAAGAAATAGACAACTTGTTTTTTTTTAAATATTATAAAGCGGCAAAGGAGTAAGCGACTGATTCGCTGAAATACCGTAGTAACCGCTGCCCATAGATATCCGCAATTGCAGATGTGTTGCCTTACCTTTAATCTACCGAGGACGTATATAAAGAGAATATTTCCCCTTACTATGCATCCCCTTCTCTGTCAAACCCCTTGCAATTCCCATTATTATAAAGAAAAAATAATGCAATATGAAAAACTAATAGTTATTTCGAATTGCAGCCATGTTTAAAAATATTAAAAGTATCCCAGAGATTGATCCAGTCACTCGCCTTTCCTTCAGGAACAACAATATATTTTAAGGTTTCCTTTAAACACTAAGGAGTAAGTTAACCCAGACCTTTAATCCCTTTTTACACTATACTTATATACTAAGAACCCTTCTAAGTCAAACTTAAGTAATTATATTGCATGCGAATTTACCCTTCTGACAAGTAACATAAGTTTGTTTTGCAAAGAAGCGTACCAATATAAAATAACTAACTACCTTAAACACTAATTCCATGCGGAAGGAGTCGCGAGCGATAGCTAGTAAGATAAAACTTACATAAGTGAGTCATATAACTAAACTAATATAACTAAATTTGTTTCAGTTAGTAAATGTTTGTCATTTGTATCTAGACGACATGTGAGTGAGGCCTATTTGAGTACGGAACCTAGATCTGCCAGTGTTACGTACATTATCGACATTTATTGCTCACAAATGTCGCCAAATACATCAAGGACGAAATAAATAACTCTACTGTGTCTATACTAAAACATACACTATTCTATTCTTCAAAATAATACACTGCTTAAAATATAAATTATATAAATATATTTAATGTTTAAAATAACAAATTTGCGTACTTTAGATGGATTCCATAAATAAGTTGATTAAGATGTAAATGGCTTTAGAAAGTTTATTATCTGAATGTGTTGTGAAACATTTTGCGATTTTCTTAATCAGATTGTACTTTTAATAATTTTAATATGCTTTGACCAAAATAAATATTGTTGAAAAATTTAATGAAATTATGTTCCTGTTAAAAATTATTAGCTTGCTTTCAATTTCTATAGTTTATAAAAAATCAAATATTATTACTTTCTATTAAAATTAACGTTGGACTTTCTTTGATTTATGAAATGCTTTAACGATTAAGTTAACAGCGAATTATGAGGCTAATTATGTTTATAAAACACCTAAGTTGACCTGGATGCATTAATTTTGCGGCACACATTCCATAAGGCGCAAACTTAGTGGTATCGGCGCGGCGTCGCGTGTCCAGTCCGCAATGATCATGGTTGAGTCCATTTACTAAGTGTTGGCGTTATCGCCTGACGTTTTGCGGATAAGGGCTAGTACACACTGAATTTTTCAATGAATTTTAGCTTACATTTAATAGTTTTATAGGTTTGAAAGTGTAGTGTACTATCTGTTTTGTGTTTCCACCAACCTTTTACGCAGTCATATTATTTACCTGAGTGCATCGTATTTTGATTTTTAGTAATTGCATAGACAGTTATGTTATAGTAGTTATTATGGATGATGACAAAAATATATATTTAGAATTTTCAATTATCAAAAGCAGTCCATTAAAGGTGCATTCACACTTTTAGAGCGAACGTTTGACGGTCAGAAGACTTGCCCTTGTCACTGTGTCCTCGATCGATTTTCAGACAAACGAACCTTTAAAGCAATTACTTAAAGTTGTTTGCATTATTTTTAATTTGCGGCAAATTTGTTATTTGATTAATGTTGACGCAGTAGTCGGTGCATTTAGTTATCTTAATGTATTGTGTTAAAAAATCAATTCACATGCCACTTTTTTTCGCAGATTTTGAGTATCCGGGAGGAAAAAAACTGCCCGTACTACGAGGAAGCATACGTCCAGCTGGATTACCTAACAACGGAGCATAAGTTTTACACAGACCACTTTCTATTTTAGAAACCGATGATCACGATGTCGGTTTTCCATTAGGTACTTGTTAAACGATGAAGCGGGCGTGCGCGCGGCCACCGCAAACGTGAACCCTCGTAGTCGCTCGAGCGGTTCACCCCAAAGCCGTGCGGCTACGGCGGCCGCGCACGCGGAGTCTGCAGCCACGGACGCCCACCACGTGCACCCCGCATAGATTAGTAACATCTCTCACTCTGACGTCGTGATTGTTGGTTCTTAAGAGTCATTTCGCCGTACCCCGTAGGTAGACTATAAGCCGAATGAAACCTGTAGAGACCTATAGTGCCACTACATTTCGTGGGACTGTGGTCCGACGTTAACATTAAATGAACTATAATCTGTCTTATGTTATCTGTCGCAGGAGAGACACTGAATGGGCAGCGACTGATCGAGTTCCGACTAGGCCATGAGGCGGAATCGGAGCAGGGATTGGCGGTGGCGCGCGCCGAGCTGCTGGTGCGTGCTGAGGTGCGCTCTCGCCGGCCGCGCTTCACGCTCTGGGCCTTCACTGTAGCGGGCAACGGCAGCGAAACACGCGTCGGCCCGCTGGCGGGTGCGGCGCGCGGCGCAGGACGTGCGTGGCAGCGACTGGATGTGACGCGCGCTGCGCGGCAGTGGGCGGCGCGGGGCGCACGCGCTCCCCTGCGCTTGCTGCTCGACTGCAGTGGGTGTGCCGGGCGCGTGCGGCTGCGGCTGGGCGGCGCGGCGGCAGCTCGCCCGCTGCTACGCCTCACACTGGCCGCGCGGGCCGCGCGCCGACGACGCGCGCTCGATTGCGATGCGGCGGCGCGCGGCCGTTGCTGCCGGCAGACATATTACGTGAGCTTCCGGGCGCTGGGCTGGGACGACTGGATCGTGGCGCCCGAGGGCTATTATGCGAACTACTGTCGCGGCGCGTGCGCGCCCTTCCTGAACTACCACGCGCAGGTGGTGGAGGCCGCGCGGCTGGAGCGCGCCGCCTGCTGCGCGCCCGTGCGCTTCTCCGCGCTCTCGCTCATCTATTTCGGCGCCGACTCCAACATCATCAAGCGCGACCTGCCCGAGATGGTGGTGGAGGAGTGCGACTGCCCGTAGCCCCCCGCGCAACTCGCCGCGCCGCCCGCCAACGCCCGCC